GAGCTTGAATGGAGAATACCTCAGTATCAAAGAGGAAATGGAAAATAACCTTTATATTATTTTTCTCATTGTTTTTTAACTTTACACTATTAGTTTTCTTTTCAGTTATTTTTAATTGTTATACGCTTACACCCTAAAAGAGTATTCATTTAAATTCTGTCAGGTCGTTAAACTGATAAGAGTAAATTATGGCCCAGTGCTTTCTGCCATTAGAGGCCAACTGAGAAAGAGGAGAAATAATCACCTTGCTGTATATAGAAATTCCAGAGCAAAATGGAATACACGACCCTCTTGAGAAAACCCTTGGGGAAGTTTTTATTTTAACTGAAACAACTTTTTATGAATCAGAGAAATGATTTAAACTTGATTTTAGCTATATTGTTGAGATTAATACCTCAGCAATCTACCAAGAGGATTTGAACCTGCCTAGCGGGGAAACTTCAGTCACAGTGCCTCAAGTGAAGCCAAGTAGACTCCTGGACCCAGGAAACCTGTGCAGAAGGACCGGAAGGGGCAAGCGGTGAAAAGGAGGAGACTCGTAAGAGAAAAGAGCGATCTGATTCAGAGGTCTCCCCGGGTGCCCAAGCCAAAAAGATGTCCTTGCTGTCAATAGAAATTCCAGAGGAACATGGAGTACCAGACCCCTTGGAAGGATTCCTGGGGGAAAATTGTTTCAAATGAAACAATTATTAATGAATCAGAGGTCGCATACGTGTATGATCATAACTATATGGATGATATTAGTACCTCTGGAATCTACCAAGAGGAATTGAACCTGCCAAGCGGAACTACTTCAGGCACAGGGTTTCCAGTAAAGCCAATTCCTGAAACCAGAAAACTGGTGCAGAATGGATCAGCGGCTGAGTCACCTATGACCCCGCCAGAGGAGGAGGACGATTCTTCCAGCTCTGTGGGACAGGCTGCATCTCTACCCGCTGAGCCACTCAGATCGCAGTGGATTTCCCCAAAAGGATGACAGTACCTGATAACTGCATGGTCAGATATCAGACGCCAGGTAGCAGCAGCCCTACCTACCCCCTGCCACTGGTCCACTTCACCATCTCCAACCCGGCGACTTCGTGCTGGTCAAGGACTTCCGGAGAAAGAGCTGGAAATCCAACCGTTGGCAAGGTCTCTACCAGGTGCTCCTCATCACCCAGACAGCGGTCAAGGTCACCGAGAGAGCCACGTGGGTCCACGCCAGCCACTGCAAGGTCGTAGTCACAGGCCAGGAGAGACGGTAGAAACAGACGACAACAAGTGATGTGTCCTAGTCACCAACGAAAGACGACAACAAGTACCACCAGCACCACACTGGCACCACATACACCTAATCTCACACTGCACACACAGGATGTCATGAGCGAGTGCCAGCTAAGCTGTTTCATATGCCCCTGGTTTCTCGTTTGTGCTATCATTGTGTGGGGCCTCATTGACCTTGTCACAAAGTCATGAGCGACTATTGACGTGGTCTAAAAAATCCATAACAAATGTCGACCGAGTTATCTGGCTTTCGTTTGGAGATGTCGTCCAGCGAAAAACTGCAACCCCTCCATGGTCAGGGTCAAGGATTTACATCAGATAGCAACATGGATTTAGGAGTCTACAACAGATGGGCCACTCGCCCAAGGACATTCCTGTACGGTACTATGTTTTCGGTGTTTTTTCACACCAGGTTCATCAAAGGGTCGTCCTGATTACACATACTGAAGAACTTTTCATGATATTGATGCTTGGAGTTTTACGGATGTAATATGTATGTGTGTTTACGATTTTATCTGTTGATATTTGATAACTTTGCGTTTGAAAAGAGGGTGTTGAGATCTTCATATGAAGTGAATACTTAAAACGAAAGTTAATTGAGATCATGGTATGAAGTGAATACTTAAAAACGAAAGTTAATTAATAAATCATACATGATCAATCATATTCTTGTATAAACCCATAATGAGAATGCTTCTTGACGGTTTTTGAATATGTATGTATGCTTACAATTTTTTCTGTTGCTATTTTGATAACTTTGCGTTTTGAAAAGAGGGTGTTGTGAGTTTTCATAGTATGTTTAATACTTAAAAACGAAAGTTAGTTATAATCAAATATAATCAATTATATTCTTGTATAACCCACAATGAAAATGCTTCATATTTTAGGTTTTTCTATAGTTACAGTATAAACAAAACAAAGTGGTTTGTTTAGGTTGAGTGTGTATGTTGCCGTTTTCCTCCCTCTCCTGTGACAGCAGTACACAGGGAGGGGGGCTCCAGGCTTAAGGAGAAACACAGAGGCCAAAAAGAGTTCATGTCCTTTTCACACTAACATGAGAAGGTGGGTCTTATGTCATAAAGCTATGGAACATGTCGAGGCATGTTCAGCCTTGTACATTAGAGGGCATGCGCATTTTTTCACAAATTGGGTGTAGAGGAGGAGTTTGTTTTTTGGGGTTTCGATCCAGTTTTTTTAGCATAAAGAGACTGTTTTTTTCAGAGAGCGCGAGAGAGAGGGGGGTTTCCCCTGGTAGACTCTCTCCCGGTAGGCTGTGTGCTTCAGAGCTGGGTAACTAGCTCTCGGTAAGGTTCTGCCAGACGGGGTAAATATCTCTCGAATTTCTTGGTTGTTGGCTGAGTGGAATGATTTGATGAGAGATGTGTTTGTGAATATTATAAATACCGCCATCTGTGAGGAAAATCTCTCCCTCCGAAATTGCGGACAGGTATGGGTTTTTGAATGTTATACCCGCCGTCTGTGTCGGAAAAAACGGTATGAAACTGATGTGAATTGATTTTGTGAATGAAAAGTTGAATGCGCTTTTTATTGTCACCGGTCTTTTTACGAGGAAATACCTCTAAATTCTATCGGGAGAATTTTAAAATGTCACAACTGAATTGGGCAGTTGAAATTAAAACATTTTGGTAATAAATGTAAGACTGTGAATTAAAGTTTCATATTTGAACATGATCACAGCACCAGGTTTTTAGTATGATTATAATGTTGTAAAGAGAGAAGGTAAAAACCCTGTATTAGTTTGGACCTATTTTTCTTCAAATAAACTGAATCCCACCAGTTGGATTGGGATAATTTAAAAGACACCTGTGCCCTCCTCTCCTGCTTCAAAGGTAAGATTGCACCCTGCCACACACACTTAGGTAGGAGCACACCTCATTTACTGATATCAAAATCCTTCGGGATCCCTTAAACAGATTAAAAAAGAGTTGTCTGAATTGAAACAGCAGTTAATTGAAACCTTGGTTCTTCGGGAAGTTAATAGAGGTGAGATCTTGCTGACGTTGGTGGATCTGAGCCAAGCAGCAACCTTACATAGACTCAATAACTTCGGAAAGGTCAATTAGTAGGTCAGAGTAATTTACCGGAATAAAATTATCAGGACCTCTCCGACTCTAAACAAGGCTTAAAGGTGTAAGCTAGTAAAATAACATGGTTTTCAATGTGTCAATATGTCTATGTGTGTTTAGGCCAACAAATCCATCCATAACTGTTGCGCTGTACTTAGAAAGGAAAAAGTGTAACTATTGAGACTCAGCCTGAGGCTAGTCTATGAGTGTTGAGACCGGGCCGAACCGGTCCTCTGGGAGTCAGGATATCAAGTTACTCAGCATGTTTCACAAGAGCGGATCACTATGAGGGGTTGATCTGTAATTAGGTGTACCCATGCGGTCTCACACAAGCGCACATTTGTTCACACACATACACAAAAAACCTACAGTACTTGTAAAAAAATCATTATTCATGCACACAAGCACACACAAAAACACTTTTCTTCCTAACTCAAGCTCATTCTCTGAGAGCCATTTGCAGTAATCGATAATTACTTAAAAAAGGTCCTGAAGAAGAACTTTCGACTCTCTTATTGGAGTTGTCCAGGCTACCATCTCCTCATCAATATGTAAACAGAAGCACCATGCCTTTTCATGAGTTGTAAGACAAGGCCAGGCATTCAAAGAACCCGATGGTTTTACTTGAGATGGAAACCCGTCTATTTGAGAAATCGACACTTGAAGCTAAATGAGAATACATGAGTGGAAGGGCTGTTCATCTACCTCTCAGATTAAAGCCATATACCTTATAGACAATGAAGGTCAATTCTGCGCATCTGTCTGACACTTTGCGTTGTATAATGTAGTATACAGATAAGTATGGGCACATGACAGTACATGTTATACTAGCTTCGTTTGACGTTTAGCAACCCCTTTGTGTTACTGGAGCTTCCCTCTTAGAGATCTTTAACACCAGAGATTTTTTATACCTAAAACCGCCACCGGGGTCAAATTGACCCGGCATTAGAATGCATTGATTTTCAAGGTAAAAGTATTGCTTTAAAAAGAAAAATGGTCCTGTGGTATTGGTATTTTGACAAGCAATTTTGTTAAATTGTTTAGTTTATTAACGGTACAACATAGCGTTTCGTGAGGCCGTTGTCGTTGTTGGGTGAAAAGCAAACAGCTGTTTGCTGCGGAGCGCAGTGCGAGCAGTCTCCCGTGAGCGGGAGCGCACTCCTTCACTACAGACTGTCGCTATCAATATATCTATCTATCTATCTCTCTCTCTCTCTCAATCTATCTCTCAATCTATAAGGAACCGCAGTAGACAAAAGGCGTTGCTATAGCAACACGTCATGTTTGTTTACACACAAAATCAATAGCGCGAAAAGGGGTGGGGTCAATATGACCCGCTTGGCGGAAATAGGTATAAATGGCAATTTTTTGGGCGATTTCTTCAATCTGACTTCATATTGACAATTTTTAACAACATAGGGTGCTACATAACACACTTTCAGGAAAAGTCATGGACTGGGAGACTTTAATATTTTATTGAAAAAAAGTTACATACAATAAAAAACAGCTCTGGGTCAAATTGACCCGATTGGCGGTTCTAGTGTTAAGTCTGCCACTGGCTGGCAAATTATCAGAAAAATAAAACTTTGTATTCATTTATAAATATCAATCTTTCTTACAATATAAAGGTGAGTACTAAGTATTGCTCACCTTTTCCCTCTGAGTCTTGGAGTCTCAGATTAGCGTTGTTCTGGATCAGCAGTGTCATGATGACATCATTGCCGTGCTCTGCAGTCAGCATCGCCGGGGTGCGGCCCATTTTGTCCTGGATGTTAGGGTGTGCTCCCTGGGAGAGAAGGAAGCTGACCAAGTCTGTAAGGAGTCATGTGGGGAAGAGAAACAGTCAGGATAATAAAGTCACTTTGAAACATGACTTTTTAGTTTGCAGTACATATTATGGCCTGGTAGATTCATCTTACAAACTACTTCAACTTCTTGGCATGTAAATAGACTTTTATAATTAGGACATTACTGAAGCTACTGTACAGCAAAAATGCCTTGCATGAAGATTAAGATTTTAATCAATAAATTCAAGAAAAACAAAAAACACACTCTTATTGCTTTTCCTGTCTTGTAAAAAACAAACATCATTTAATAAAATGTGTTTTTACAAACTAAATAATTCATTGTTTCTTTAGGGGTTGAGACAACTTTCCTAATTCTTAATATAAATTAACTATTTTTTAAACATCTTAGATTTTCACAAAAAAGACATTATCACGAAGCGGAAAGCAGCGCTTTTTCTCTGGGTTTTTTTGTGAAACGTGTGAGAAACATGATTTCAACAGCGACAAAGCTACAAACATAAGGATTTCAGAGAAATATGAAGTATTTATTTTTGATTAAATCATCAAACCGTGTACAAGTGAGTTCAAATTAGCAAACCAGACAGTTCTGCAGCAGTAAAGTGCATTATATGCATAATAAGATATCTATAATGGTGTCAGACCAATATAAAAACATTATTTTTTATCAGAAAACAATGAAAGGGAACATTTTGTTGCATACCTTAACTTTATGAGAGTATTTTTTCAGAGTGGTATAACTTAAGTGAAGGATCTGAAAACTCTTATATTTTCCACTTCCACCACTGAGTGTCACTGAGTAAAGAAGAGGCACATCACCCTGGTTGTTGGCTGACATTGCCACGTGCAGCGCCCCTGTGCCCTCGTGTGGCTCAGTGAGATTGATGAGGTTCTTCACCCCGAGGTTCACCATCTTCTCGATATGAGCCTTATCCCCTTCATGGACGCACTGCAGCAGGCGGTAAATCTGTAGGACCTGAAGGTGGCCCTCTGCAACTCTGCCACTCATGATAGTGTCAGAGGGGCTGGTTTAAAAGAAAAACAAAGAGATATGACTTCCTGACAAAGATGCAGACAAACAAGCTTATGTTCAAGGGCGGAAGCAATGTGTGTTTTTTTTTTAAAAAGTCAGTATTATCCAGGCTGGTTTTTTACAATCAATCAATCAATGTTTATTTATATAGCCCAATATCACAAATGTTACATTTGTCTCAGTGGTCTTCACAGTGTGTACAGAATATCAGTATGACAATACGACACCCTCTGTCCTTAGACCCTCACATTGTACAAGGAAAAACTTCTAGAGAAAACCCACAGTTTAAAGGGAAAAATGGGAGAAACCTCAGGGAGAGCAACAGAGGAGGGATCCCTCTCCCAGGACGGACAGACGTGCGATAGATGCCGGGTGTAAATCGAAAAGATAATAACAATGGGTTTTTATAGTTGATTAACAAATTAAACCTTGGAGCACACATGTTGTATGTCACTGAACAACAGTCTGTGAAACAGCATAGCAGAAAGTCAGTAAATCAAACCTGCGTTGCTTTGTTCACGTCACTTCACCAAAAACTCGTTTTCAGAATCAGAACACTTTTTTCAGGTAAAGGAAACTTGGATTTGGGACAATTGCTCCATTAAAGAATGTTATAACATTAAAAAATAAAATCAAAAGATTATAACAATTATAAATAACATGATTGAGAATGAGCAATAAAAAGATAAAATAAAATAAATATATTTATATTTATATAAACATAGGAAGTTAAAGTTAAATGGCCGTAATTTTTTTTTAATATAGTACAATATTTCACCGTAAGTTAATGTAAGTTAAAGTATATTTTTTACTTTAACTTACGGCTAAATTGCAGTTTCAGCTCAGTTTTACTCAGATATTACCAGAGGTGTGGACTCGAGTCACATGACTTGGACTCGAGTCAGACTCGAGTCACACATTTTATGACTTGAGACTCGACTTGACAACATCACAAAAGACTTGCGACTCGACTTGGACTTGAACACCAATGACTCGGGACTTGACTTGGACTTGAGCCTTCTGACTTGAGGTGACTTGCTACTTTAATTCAGAGGTCTCCAACACGCCGATCGCGAGCTGCCGTTAGAAGAGCAGACTCCCATCGGGGAAAGCAGAATCTTCAGCCGCTCCTACTCTTGCTGAGAATCCTTGCAGGCAGGGGCGGGTCTTTATTTAGCTGGGCCACCATGCGGCCAATCATATGCGATGACACACTAGGATCATACCATTATGTGAAAGAAGGGTGGGGGCACAGCATGTGCAGAGCGACGGGGAGACGGGGAGCCGGATTTAAATGCAAGCGCGTCGGAAAAAGTCAAGAAATGAGCGAAAACCGAAAAAAGAAGCAGCATCTGGCTGCTTTTCAATGATATTGGAGAAAGCAAAGCTGAGTGCAGGATTTGTAAAATGAAAATAACCTTCAGAGCAGGGTAAACACTCAGGATTTATTGTCAGAGGTGGGAGAAGTTCAGACAATTAAAAAAAGTTACAATCAGGGTTCCCGCGGGGTCTTAACAAGTCTTAAAAAGTCTTAAATTTGATAATCAGAATTTAAGGCCTTAAAAATGTCTTACATATGATTCAGAAGGTCTTAAAAATTATCGGATTTGAAAGGTACTTCTGTGTTGCGATAGCGTCTAAATGTGTTTTGGGGGAAATGTCCGGGCTGCAAAGTAACCAGTACGGTAATAGCCTTTCAGTTCCCCCCAACAATTTGTATTGAATTAAATCAACATGGAACCAGTAATCACTAACTTTGTCCCCCCCCGGCCCCTTATTGGAGAACACCCAGCTAGTAACTTAGCAACCAAGCTTCAGCTCATGTAGCCTATCTTCGAATCTACTTACAAATAAATATGGGGAAGTGTAAGTTCAACCGTATTTGGTTGGAAAACATCTAATTTAGTGCTTGGTTGAAACCAGTGGAGGGAACGTGTTTGAAGCCCGCTGCACCTTTTGCAAAATAAATTAGTGTTTGTTTTGCTAATGTAGCGTTAGCTAGTAGAGCGTTAGCTAGTGCAACAGCAGCTAATGTAGCGTTAGCTAGTGCAGCGTTAGCTAGTGCAGCAGCAGCTAGTGCAGCGTTAGCTAGTGCAGCAGCAGCTAGTGCAGCGTTAGCTAGTGGAGTGTTAGCTAGTGCAGCAGCTCCCGCAACAACACCGGGGGACCTCCGGGCGAAGTTTGGGTCTACGTCAACCCTAAAAGCGGAGGTGCTGTAGACGCTAAATACCGTAGCTAAACACCAATCATACAACAGCAACGATGAAATAGTGTAGCCAAGGCAGCAGAGCTCAGTCTGAATATAGCTCTTGTCACTCTCTCTCAGAGACACACACACACACACACACACACACACACACACACACACACACACACACACACACACACACACACACACACACACACACTAGGGCTGCTCGATTATGGCAATAATCAAGATTATGTTGGTCAATAATTAATATCACGATTATTAAATATGATTATTCATTGACTTTGAAAACATCCATTTATTGAACTTTAAAACAGATAATAATTTGAACAGTATCTTTTTAACTGTTGATTACCCTGAACGTATAATTCAACTGAAAAACCAATACAAAAATTAATTAAATAAATGATACATTACTAAAAAATTCTCTGAAGAACCAGCACCTTACCGTGGTAGAGAGGTTTGTGTGCCCTGATGAACCTGGGGGCTGTGTTGTCTGGAACCTTGTGTTCCTGGTAGGGTTTCCCATGGCAAATTGGTCTCAGGCAAGGGGCCAGACTAAGATTGGTTCAAAAGACCTCATGAAAGACGATACAAGAAGTGAGGATACCCGGCCCGGAGGAAGCCCGGGGTCCCCTTCTGGAGCCAGGCCCAGAAGGAGGACTCGTCGGCGAGCGTCTGGTGGCCGGGCTTGCCACGGAGCCCGGCCGGGCCCAGCCCGAAAAGGCAACGTGGGCAACACCTCCGCTTCTCCGTCCCGCGGGCCCACCACCTACGGGAAACATCAATGGGGTCGGGTGCGCTGCCAGAAGGGTGGCAGTGAAAGCGGAGGGTCTCGACGGACCAGACCCGGGCGACAGAAGCTGGCTTTGGGGACGTGGAACGTCACCTCTCTGGGGGGGAAGGAGCCGGAGCTTGTGCGGGAGGTGGAGCGTTACCAGTTGGATCTGGTTGGGCTCACCTCTACGCACAGCGTCGGCTCTGGAACCTTACTTCTGGATAGGGGTTGGACTCTATTCTTCTCCGGAGTTGCTCAAGGTGTGAGGCGCCGGGCGGGTGTGGGGATACTCACAAGTCCCCGGTTAGGTGCTTCGTTGTTGGAGTTTACCCCAGTGGACGAGAGGGTCGCCTCCCTACGCCTGCGGGTTATGGGGGGGAAAACTCTGACTGTTGTGTGTGCTTATGCACCCAACAGCAGTTCAGAGTATACGGCCTTCTTGGAGACCCTGGAAAGAGTCCTGTATGGGGCTCCTGAAGGGGACTCTTTAATCTTGCTGGGAGACTTCAACGCACATGTGGGCAATGATGGAGACACTTGGAGGGGCGTGATTGGGAGGAACGGCCCCCCCTGATCTGAACCGGAGTGGTGGTTTGTTACTGGACTTCTGTGCTAGTCATGGATTGGCCATAACAAACACCATGTTCGAACATAAGGATGCTCATAAGTGTACGTGGTACCAGAGCACCCTAGGCAGAAGGTCCATGATCGATTTCGTTATCGTATCATCGGACCTGAGGCCGTATGTTTTGGACACTCGGGTAAAGAGAGGGGCGGAGTTGTCAACTGATCACCATCTGGTGGTGAGTTGGGTCGAGTGGCGAGGGAAGCCTCTGGATAGACCTGGTAAGCCCAAACGTGTAGTTCGGGTGAACTGGGAACGTCTGGAGGAGGCCCAAGTTCAGGAGGCCTTCAACTCACACCTCCGGCGGAGCTTTTCGGGCATTCCTGTGGAGGTTGGGGACATTGAACCAGAGTGGTCGGTGTTCAAAGCCTCTATTGCCGAAGCCGCGGCGGGGAGCTGTGGTCTCAAGGTCCTAGGTGCCTCAAGGGGCGGTAACCCTCGAACCTCCTGGTGGACACCGGTGGTCAGGGAAGCCGTCCGACTGAAGAAGGAGGCCTTCAGGGATTTGTTATCCCGGGGGACTCCCGAGGCAGTTGCAAGGTACCGACAGGCCCGAAGGGCAGCAGCCTCATCCGTGGCCGAGGCAAAGCAGCGGGTGTGGGAGAAGTTCGGAGAAGACATGGAGAAGGACTTTCGGGCGGCACCAAAGTTGTTCTGGAAAACTGTCCGACACCTCAGGAGGGGGAAGCAGGGAACCATCCAAGCTGTGTACAGTAAGGATGGGACGTTGTTGACCTCAACTGATGGAGTGTTGGGGCGTTGGAAGGAACACTTTGAGGAACTCCTAAACCCGACAACTCCGCCCTCTATGTTAGAGGCAGAGCTGGAGTATGACGGGGGATCAACACCAATCTCCCGGGGGGAGGTCACTGAGGTCGTCAAACAACTCCACAGTGGCAAAGCCCCGGGGGTGGATGAGATCCGCCCGGAAATGCTGAAGGCTCTGGGTGTTGAGGGACTGTCATGGTTGACACGTCTCATCAACGTTGCGTGGAAGTCGGAAACAGTACCGAAGGAGTGGCAGACCGGGGTGGTGGTTCCCCTATTTAAAAAGGGGGATCAGAGGGTGTGTGCCAATTACAGAGGCATCACACTACTCAGCCTCCCCGGGAAAGTTTACTCTAAGGTACTCGAAAGGAGGGTCAGGCCGATTGTCGAACCTCAGATTGAGGAGGAACAATGCGGATTCCGTCCTGGTCGTGGAACGACGGATCAGCTTTTTACTCTCGCAAGGATCCTGGAGGGGGCCTGGGAGTACGCTTATCCGGTCTACATGTGTTTTGTAGACTTGGAGAAGGCGTATGACCGAGTTCCCAGGGAGTTACTGTGGGAGGTGCTGCGGGAGTATGGGGTGAGGGGGTCTCTACTCAGGGCCATCCAATCTCTGTACTCCCAAAGCGAGAGCTGTGTCCGGGTCCTCGGCAGTAAGTCGGACCCATTTCCGGTGAGGGTTGGCCTCCGCCAGGGCTGCGCTTTGTCACCAATCCTGTTTGTAATATACATGGATCGGATTTCGAGGCGTAGTCATGGGGGAGGGGGTCTGCAGTTCGGTGGACTAAGGATTGCACCACTGCTTTTTGCAGATGATGTGGTTCTAATGGCTTCATCGGTCTGCGACCTTCAGCACTCACTGGATCGGTTCGCAACCGAGTGTGAAGCGGCTGGGATGAGGATCAGCACCTCCAAATCTGAGGCCATGGTTCTCAGCAGGAAACCGATGGACTGTCCACTCCAGGTAGGGAATGAGTCCTTACCCCAAGTGAAGGAGTTCAAGTATCTCGGGGTCTTGTTCTCGAGTGAGGGAACAATGGAGCGTGAGATGGGCCGGAGAATCGGAGCAGCGGGAGCGGTACTGCAGTCGCTTTACCGCACCGTTGTGACGAAAAGGGAGCTGAGCCAGAAGGCAAAGCTCTCGGTCTTCCGGGCCATTTTCGTTCCTACCCTCACCTATGGTCATGAAGGATGGGTCATGACCGAAAGAACGAGATCGCGGATACAAGCGGCCGAGATGGGTTTTCTCCGCAGGGTGGCTGGTGTCTCCCTTAGGGATAAGGTGAGAAGTTCGGTCATCAGGGAGGGACTCGGAGTTGAGCCGCTCCTCCTTCGCGTCGAAAGGAGCCAGTTGAGGTGGTTCGGGCACCTAGTTAGGATGCCACCTGGGCGCCTCCCTAGGGAGGTGTTCCAGGCACGTCCAGCTGGGAAGAGACCAAGGGGTAGACCTAGGACCAGGTGGAGGGATTATATCTCTTCGCTGGCCTGGGAGCGCCTTGGGATCCCCCAGTCAGAGCTGGTTGATGTCGCCAGGGAAAAGAAAGTTTGGGGCTCTCTGCTGGAACTGCTACCCCCGCGACCCGATCACGGATAAGCGGGAGAAGATGGATGGATGGATGGATGGATGGATTACTAAAAAATTCATTAGATCAAATATGTTGTAGTGCACTGTCACAACCTAGCAAAGCAAAATAATCGTTTTTTACGATTATGTTGTTTTCGTAATTGTGGCAGGCCAAAATCGTAATTGCGATTAAAATATGATTAATTGCACAGCCCTAACACACACACACACACACACACACTCAAGCGCACACACATACACACTTTTTGTCTAACACGCTAACACAGTTCTGTACTGTTACGCTGTTGTGTTCAGTCATTGTTCTTATGTTGAACATGAATACATTTACTTTGTAAGTGATTATGGGACGTATTTCTTCTTTATATACATTTTCCTTCATACTTTATTGCCGTGAAATAGGTCTTAAATTCTATTCAAAGTGGTCTTAAAAAGGTGTTAAAAAGTCTTAAATTTGAGTTGGCGAAACCTGCAGGAACCCTGTACAATAAAAAGTCCTGCATTCAAAATGTTACAAGTAAAAGTATTAGCATCAAAACATAGTTAAAGTACCACCTGCAGAGGGATCTAGATGCAGGTGTTCTTTTCCCCATAGAGACCACCTCGCTGCACATTATCCCTTGCATACAGATAGATTCTGGGTCCCTTATAACATGTTGTACACAGTGGAAATAAACATTCTGGTTACCTCAACATCAGGGATCTTATACATTAAACTCCTTCTGAATCAAACCGTCACGGTAGCCTTACCTCTTAAATTAGAAAAACACACGTTACTTTACCAGCAGAGAGAAAATGGATTATTAAATTATTAATGTGACTAATAAAGAGCAATTTGATTATTAAGTATTATTCTGTTGATCGATGTCATTACATTTGGTGAAAAACACATAATGACTTGTTTATGACTCGTTTTGTCAAAGTTTAGGACTTGGACTTGACTTGAACTTGCCCATCCTGACTTGAGACTTGACTTGGACTTGCAAGACAATGACTTGAGACTTGACTCGGACTTGAGCGCAAAGACTTGAGACTTGACTCGGACTTGCAAAACAATGACTTGGTCCCACCTCTGGATATTACCAGAGGTGAAATGTAAAGAACATTTACTCAAGTAATGTACTCAAGTAATGTACTTAAGTAATGTACTTAAGTCATAAAATGGAGGTACTTTACTTGAGTATTTTCACGTTATGGTACTTTATATTTTTACTCCAATACATTTAGGGCAATGTTTTACTTTTTTCTCCACTACATCATTTATTTTACATATTTAGTTACTAGTTACTTTGCAGAAGTAACTAGTAACTTCTGCAAGTCAAACCCCACTTTTACCAAGTGCAACATTGAAGTGATGAACACATCAATGCATCAATACTTATAATACACAAATGTAAAACATATGGTACTTAAATGGGTCATTCTGCATAACGAGTACTTTTACTGTTGGTACTTAAAGTAGGCCTACATTGATGCTAATACTTTTTCTCTTTTACTTCTACTTAAGACAATTTGTTACTTAACAATTAATGCAAGACTTTTACTCCTAGCTTAGTATTTTTACGCTGTATTATTGCTACTTTTCCTTGAGTAAAATATCTGAGTACTTAGTCCCACCTCTGCACATACAGTGGCGTTACACCACATATGTAAGCTAGTTACTAGCTACTTATTTACCATTTTCTTAATTCAAATAGATATGATTGTATATCCAGCGTAAACGTCAACTGTGTAAGTGAACATCTAATTCCGTATAACCCCTTACCCGTGTACCTGTTTTGACCTTAATGTTACACTTTTATTTAGAACAAGAAAAAGTAACGCCTTAAACGCAAACAAATAATATTTGGCGTCATACAAATACACAAAAAGCCAATGTAACGTGATAAACCTTGACTTATGATACACAACAACTCAAGTGCACACCTTAAGCTAGTTTGAAGGTAAATAACGTTAGCTTGTTTAAGTGCGCTTCTTACCGTGCTTAAAAACTCGAAAAGTCGTTGCACTTTGTCGCTCGTATACCCAGCACATCCAGGACAGTCTGAGTTACGTTTCTACACAGTCCTTACTTTACTTTAAAGCACAACCTATCACTCTGTGGTAGCCGGAGAATAGAAACAAACTCGGCTCCATGGCAACGGCCCGCGTGGGAATCCCGGATATGTTGTGTTTTGGTGGTGTCTGATGATGCTTTCAAGTGCTGGACATGAGCTCGGTAATAAGAAGCTTGTGGCTGGATATTCGACTGCGGCAAGGCAATATGTACATTACCTAACGCATATGGCATATCATATAGCATATTTAACATATAGATAAAGTACAAATATACATAAACACATTTTAATTATAATCATTCAACATAATGGATTAGTGTTGACACCAGCCACATTGTATTATCTAAATGCAGTGTTGGCAGTAACTCTCTACATGTTGTTAAGTACTGTACTTAACTACAATGTTCACGCCTATGAAGGTTACTTGAGTAATTGCATATATTATAATGCTTTTGTTTCTACTCCACTACATTTTTAAAGCAAACCTTTTACGTCCCTACATTTATATGACAACATTAGTTACTACTTAATTTTCAAGTTTAAATTATAATTTAATTAAATTAAATTATAATTATAATTAAAACTAACTAAAACTAATAAATTACGATGTACTATCATGGATTACCAGTTGCAAAATAAAATTACTTCCCATTTATGGATCAACAAATATAATCCTGTGATATAATATATTTAAGTCCAAAAATATTTCAAATGTACTTGATTGCTATTACTACCTATGCATTTTTACTTAGGTAAAACATAAATACAGGGCTTTGAATTGTAACAGAGTATTTTTACACGTTGATGTTAATACTTTTGCTTGAATAAAATATCTGAATTCTTCCACTTCTACCTAAATGTTACATTTAAGAAGTGCCACTTGTTGGCAATCATCCATTTTATACAGTTTACGATATCATACCATCCACAATCAGAGGTTTCTGACAGGACAGAAATCAATATTTGTCATGCCTTATGTGGACCCTTATTAGCTTCCACAAAGTGATGCTAGTCTTCTTGGAACCACACAGAACTACCAAAATAAACATGTTTATATACGTCGCATCTCATCTGCACCCTACATCTTTAAGTAGCCTAGAATTACTGGTTCTTTGCCTTTGACCTGGTGCATGGATCATTTTACATAGTCCTGGGGATGACTTTGTCTGTGTGAGTGACAATGAAATGACAGCTATTAAGCACAGAGAGGTTAATAAAGAGACCTGCAATTCCCATTGATAAGTAATGAATGTGTAAACAATGGGAGAGACAAGGTATAATCCTTAAAATACATCCTTCAAGAGACTTCTTAAAAGGTTCTTCAGCAACAGCATTTGGAACATGAAGCTGAACACAAGGTGTCACTGCAGTGCAGCATAAGAAAACACTTTTTAATCATCTCCTTGAAGTCTTGAGCTAAAATTAACCTACTGAAGTCAAGAGAAAGAGATTTGAGAGGAGAGTTGAAACTGGCACATCCTTGCTCATTTAATAAAGGAACACAAAGAGGATAAAAGTGAGACTGTTGACATCAGATGTGTAAAACAGGGTGTCTGTATTTGAGGCACACTTGTGGCAAAAACATACAAAACATACACAATACCTGGCAAGGTGAAGTGGTAACTCATACAAATATGATACGGGCTGAAAAATATTTACATTCCTTCGGGGTTATACAATGCATAGAACCATAAAACAACATTCCCACACTGAATAAGGAAAATGTATTATCCACCGTAAGGTAAATGTAATCAGATATAAGCCAATCTGTTGTATTGTCTAAAAAATGTGCGATGTTCCTTTTAAATTCCATTCAAAAATATATACGAACTTGATATTGTGCACATTTTTCCTTCTGGAGACATTTTTAATAAGACTTCTAAAGGCAGGAAGTGTGTGTATTCATGGGAGACATGGGATTTGTTGCATAGAGACAAGGGTTCACTTTCATTGTTTGTTATTCTTAGCTTTACACAATAATTCCACAGTAAGATAGAATGATAGTAACAGCCTCATAACTTCAACGACTTGATCCTCCACCGAGTTAAGATGGCCCTTATTAGGACAGAGGTACAAAAAAAAGACATTCTTCCCCCTGTCCACCTTCCTCCTCCCTTCTCTGGGCATAGCTGATGTCCTAAAATGGGCTTATTGTTTTGCTGATGTATGATCTATAAAATCCTGTGGTTTTCTAGGATGAACGGTCAGTGACTTCATTTGTGCACTTCCTTCTAAAGAATAGTGGTTTGGACTGTGTCACCATCACTCTGCATGTTTTCCAAAACAATTGGCAGTCAGTGTTGTGTTTCTGGGAATTTGCTTGTGGTCAAAGTGAAATTGTGAGCATGGAGAAAAAGGAACTATATTATAAACAGGAACAAATGGTGTGCAATAACCTCTGAACATTTGATATGCTGTGGGCAGATTACACATAAAAGCAGAAAGACGTCCACATCTTTAATCTTTTTTCATTTCCCCTCTATGTCCTCTCATTGGCACAAGAAAGACCTGAAGGCTATCTTGGTGGAATCAGGGAAGAATTCAAGTTTAAAGAACAGCATGAAATATGTAATTATAATATAACCCTTCAGTGGCCTTTTTCTAAAGACAACACATCATAGAATAAAAAACACAATGGCTCTTTGCACAAATAGTTTCCGTAAAGCTGTGAGACACACCAAAATGAATGTGGTTGGAAACAACGTTTTGTTGTCCTTCCTTCATAGCACGTAAGGTACAATTATAACGTATTTCTTTCCTTGCTGAATTCATTCAGTCCAGCTATTTCAGTCTCTTTGACTGCTCAGGCAGTGGCTCTTTTTGAGTCCAACTACAATGCTCTCATGTTGCAAGTTTCACCCAGAGAGACTGATTATAATGCGACTCCATCCAATCAGATGGTCTCGTACAGCAGCATCCCACTGAAGATGGTCAACGGTTCCGAGGAGAACGCCAGTTTGCCCGTGACCAGGTCGATGCAGACGGTGTCCCCGGCCTCCATGGGCAGGATGATGTTGAAGACAGCCAGAGCTCCAGGGATGTGTTTGGCCTCTGCCATGGGCTTCTCCAGACCTTCAGGCTGATATCCGGCTGAGTCCACACGGGCCACGCCAGTGTTGGACTTGGACAACACAGCCTCGATCTTCATGTTCTTGTGGCCCGTGAGGATGCCGCTGAAGAAGTACTTCCCACTCACTGGAGCTGTGAAGTAACCTGGAGGAGGGAAGCAGATCATATATAATCTAAATATTGCGCATTTGCTGTCATGTAGAATTGTTTATTGAGTAATTTTCATGAACTTTGAAGGTCAATTTCAGGGGTATAGTGCTGACGGAGCACAACAGAATGCCGCTCCAGCACTTTTCTTTCTGATGAAAAATAATATTTACAGGTTGGCTAAGGGGCCGTGTGCAGAAAGAAAAACACAAAGAGATGGTATTCACTGCCTTTGTCTAAGATAAAAGGAATAATAAAGGCTCACATTTAAATGTGGACAACAAGCCTCTATGTTATTGTATTATTATAAATATAGGCACAACTCCAACTAAGGCTACACTACTAAACTGTACATTTGAAGATGAGATCCAATTATGCAAAACGTGATTGGTTGATGCCTTCATTCGCTGTGTGGAAGCTCAGAAAATCAACTTCACGTGTAATGTTTGCATTCTGAGAGAAAGCATTTGTGTCAAAAAAACTGTTCAGAAAAATACTTCGATGTGCAAATTCATCGCTCAAAAACACCTACTACCTACATGGCAATGAATGAATAATATATTATAACATACTTATAAGAAGAATATGACATTCCTTGCTACTTGTCACAGCTAATGTACAGTAGGTTCAGTGCCAAATTAAAATGGTGTTTTCTTTTTGTAACTGGAGTGAACTGACAGTCTTAGCTTACATCAAAAATAACAACTTTTACTTTAGGTAAATTGGAGTACTGATTTTGTGACTGAACTAAGACTCACCTGTCTTGGGATCGTAGGAGTTATTTTCATTGACAAAGATCTCGTTGAACACGATGGTTCCTGCACTTCTCATGGATCGAGTCAATGCCGCAGAGAAAGAAAGGCGTGGCACGTGGGCATCAGACCCTGCAAGTCCTGATCACAGTGGAGAAAACAAGAGAGTAGAATTAGGGATGAAATAAAGATCAAACAGTAACAATTGCTTTCATCTGCTGTTTAGTAAGATCAACACATACCCTGTTCACCTCTGAGACCTGAGGAGTAAGATGAAAGATAAAAACAGTGAGTACATCATCCAAAAAAAATCATTCTAGCTGTTTCTTGCATTCTTTCTAACCCTAACTTTACTTTAATTTTATGAGAATATTCCCCTAGTATATGTGACGAGACAAAGATCTTAGATAAAGCTTGAAGATGTTGTTATAATACTCAAAATGTAATGAGATTACAAAAAAAACAAAGATTGTTGTCTTTACCTGGGGGTCCAGCTTGTCCCTGCCTGCCCTCTCTGCCCTGAGGTCCCACCCTCCCTTGGGATCCGATGGGACCCTGGATTCCACTCTCGCCTTTTTCTCCACGGAGGCCCGGTAGACCAGGTGGACCTAGGAGAGAATAATGTTGAATGAGACATCGCAGCTGGGAAACCTCTGAAAATCTTCTTTAGCAGTTTCTCTAAGGATATTTCTAAAGTAAGCCAAAAAAAGCTAAGACATTGCGATGCCTCAGGATGAGCCTTTCACCCTCATGTTTACTAAAACTCCTCTTTCAGACAGATTGCAGACTTTTTAAGTACATGCTTCTCAAGATGACAGTTTGAATTCTTTCTTTGGTCTTTTTTCCCCAGACCTAGCCTCCCTTTTTGATTATCTCTTCTCCAAAAGTCAAATTCCATGCCCTTGGTCCCCTTGCGACTCACCCATGAAGTCTTGCTCTATGAAACTGTGGAACTCCTTGGCCAAGTCCAACACTGAAGAGTTCAGTCTGTTAATGTCTGAGTGGACGTTCACCAGCTGGACGTTCTGGATATTGTCGATGTGATCTCCTTGAGACGTTACGGTGACGTTGAGTCCATTAACGCAGCTCCAGAGC